GGACGTGTCGCGTCAATTCATGATACCTAGGATAAACTTCAAAACAAGGAAAATAACAGGTAAGCTGTTGAATTGTGTGTACCAAAGCATTTTCGGCATTTACATCGTCCACACATTTATAAGTGAACATTTTTTAGTGCTTCCTACTCAAATTAGCATGAGTTCGAATGCCAGAATGGTTTGGTTATTGTATTACTTACTAGGCTGATAATCTGACCGATCTTGTAAAATAGCTTCCTATAGGAGATAAGGAGCTCCTATTGCTTTTTAGGACCTCGATGGGTGAAAAATCTGTTTTATTAAAATATGAATGTCTTACTCAGTCAATCTTTGTCTAAAAAAACACCTTGCATGATGAACTTTGGTTATTTTTTCGTACATCTAACCCTCCCAAAAATAATACAAAAAATATCAATAACGATTTTTTTCACTAGAGCATGTATTCCATATAAATTGTAAATTTTCTAATTTTATCTCAAATAGGTAACATGCTGTAGTTTTATATAGTAGTGTTTCTCATATCGTATGCCTTATTTCCATGGCAAGCAGCCAATTGACAAACAAACTTTGTGAACAATGAATTATTGGTATGGTTTGTAAGTATTTACCCTAAAAGCAATCTTCTTTTTATTTAAAGCAGCGAAAAAGCTTGTGTAGCCTAAAAGGGTATCACATTTTATGGAGTGTAAAAAAACAATTAATTCAATGTTTAATATTCAAACGTAATTTCTCTAACTGTATTTAATCTGATTCTAAAATTCCATTTCCATTTCTATGATGCAGTACTGAAGTAAGCATTTGAGAATATAAACTTTTAATAATGAACATGAGCATAATCCTAAGTCATACATATTCAACTTCAAGCTTAGAGCTAATGCTAAATATTCAAAAGCTCATGTAAATAGGGAGATTCTTCGTCTTTACTGTCAAAATCCGCTTCAATCAATAATGAAGGTAATTAATTAGAATCCTTCCGAATCGTTTGAAAGAACTTATTTACCTTATCAAATACATAACGTAATAAGTGGGGATAATTTTGTCAAGTTTTTAGAATGCAAAGTAAGAAAGACTACCACAACGTGATCGATGGTGGTCTTAACTTATATTTATCGCCATTTCCCGACAGCGACAAAGTTCGGGGTTTAATAGTGCATAATACTTTACTGTCTTCAACATTTATTTATGTTCCAGACGTTTTATAGGCGGTTCGAAAATACTTTAAGAAATACGAAGGTATTGAATGTTTTAACATGTTGTTTTGGAGATATTTCAAGTTTAAATTGTGGAAAACAGTGTTTAATTTTAAGCTAGAAAGGATTGAAAATGAAAAAAATGTCCGCAAGAAAGATGTTTTTTTTTCACATGCATAATTTTTATATTTTTGGTCCTAGGACGCTAGGCACGAGCCCGGAATTGTTTTTCACATTACTTCAGGCTACATCTAGGGGTTACGGCACATCACATAGATATAATCCATTGGTGATTTGGTAGGATCTGAACCCGGGACCTCTGGAACCGAAGTCCCGTACAACCACTAGACCTGCTCCTTCCCACTTTCTCACATGCATGGTGCATAATTATTTACCGGTAAATATTTTTGTAAATCTTGTAGAACATATAAAAATATTTTTATTTCTTAAAGAATTCATGGCAGTATTTTGTTGAGGGTTGTTTATGGCAATTATAAAATATATTATCTCAACTAAAAAGTGTTTTATTATAAAAATAAGAGTAACAAAGCACTGCGCTAGACATTACAATTAATATATACATATTTCAGAACCTAAAATTACAACAAAATGAAATTGAAGTATGAGAAACAATTTTCCAGTTCTGCTCGAGCAAATTAGCTTAATAACTGGAAAACATGCTCTGGAACAGCAGCGCGGTGGCGCTTGGAAAACATGAATGTTTATAATGTAACTTAACAAGCACTTGGAAATGTTTCTTTGTAATTAAATATACTGAAAGATGTGTAAAAATAAATGAGCGTGTGCATGCGATGTAAACATAAAAATACAAACAGACACTTAATTTCTTTCTCTTAAAACTTACGTAATGTTTTGGCACAATTTATTAAACCCCGACATTGAAAATATGCCATTGACGTAAATATGATTTTGCCCATCTCCCCCCAGTACAAAAAACTATCTTCAGAATGAGGTGTGTTTGTAATTCTAATACAATCTAAAAATACGTTATCCTACTTCTTTTTTTTATTACTCTACAGAGGATTACCTATATATTTTTGTTTAGATATTGTAATATAAGAGTGTGATAAGAACTTCTAATACCTTTGTCCTGTAAGAATTTAAGGAATGGTACTAATTTGTTTTTTTCTAGTGTACATTTAGTAAAATATGTTACTTTTGAACAATATTTCCTAATAATATAATTACGATTCATGTTTTCAAATCCTACTATTATTTTGATCCCAAAAGTTCAATTTTCAACAGTTACTGTCTAATAATCAGTTGGTGAATTTAATTAAGACTTCCCGTGGAGCTTATCAAGTCCACAGGACAGGATGTAATCTATGTGCAGGTCTTGGACACAAATGACAATGACGACACCATCTCAAGGGAAATTAGCCCATCTAGGCTGCTGATTAGACGAGGGTTGCTTACACACAAAACATTCATTACCTCCTAAACGCATCGTATTTTAGTTTTACGTAATAGATTAGCTTTAAATCTTCATTTTAACATGCTGGCGGTGCATCTATGAATGTTAGGGTATTATTGTCTCCATGCAGAGGTGTCGCAAAAAAATATTTGGCGGGGGGGGGGGACTTTGACATTCCCTAATACGGATTCCTCAACTATGTTACTCGGAATCCCAACTTACTATATTACTCAAATTTACCAACTATATTACTCAAATTTCCCGACTATGTCACACGGATTTCCCAACTATATTACTCAAATTTCCCAACTATATTACTCGAATTTCTCGACTATATCACACGGATTTCTCAACTATATTACCAAGATTTTCCAACTAATTAATATTAAGTTTTAACAGTAAGTATACATATTTGACACAAATGACTAAAAATTGAAGGTTCATCACACATTATTGAGTTATGACTGTCAACACTGAACACTGTGCTGACTAAAATGTTAAGTTTACAGCATCTTAAGATTATTTTTCCAAATAAAATTTCAGTGGATACGACTCTGCCCAGTAATAAATTGCCCTTAGCCCTTAGAACCCTTAGACACTTTTTTTACTTTAATTATTTATGTTTACAGGTAGACGTCTGCTTGGTTTGAAAATAAATCGTTATCTTCGACAGTTTAAAATTTTCAACTCACAGCTTAGAATACCTGAAAATTCCCAACTTTTACACTTTTCATAGATTATTGTAATGTTGGCTCCCCCTACCCGTCCCTCTTGGGTGACGTCCATCTCTCAACATGTAAGCCTTTTATTCTAGCATGTGCGAAGAGTATATACTTACTTGTGTACATTTTCAGTTGAATTTTATCAACTCATAATCAATATTTATTTAGCTGCAACCAAAAGGTTTGTGTTGTGTTGTGTGAACCAATAATTTCTATAAATATTAAACAAGAGTAGCTCATTTTATTCATACGTGGAAACATGTTAAATCCAACAAAACTTGAACATACTTTCGTATGTTAAAGTTAGATGCAGTTGCTTTGTTCTCTTAGCCCCAAAACATATACAGTACTTTATAATTAAACTGAAACAGCGAATAAAAATGTATGTTTTTCCACGTACACGAAAATACTCAACACTTAAGTGTTAGTTTAAATTTATTTACAACCTTCTAATCATTCGTTTATGCCCATAACCTTTTCCCTTGTACGGTATATGGTTGAGTGTCTTAATTAAATCCAATTTATCATTATATTGTAAGTTTATTAAGACTATTAACACCTACGCTAATGCTAGTCGAGCTAAATAATAGACTGGACAAACTGTACTCGCTGGTTAGTCTATGATATAAGCTAAATATGGAAACTCTTATCTTGTTAACGAATTGTGTAAGTGTTTTTAGTTCAATACTTGACAGGTAACCAACCTACGCTTTATCTTATGACAAAATATTTTCAAATTTGTAAAATCCTAAAACTGAAACAAGGGAGAAAAGTCACGTCCGAGAAAATATTAACGGCCAACTATCTCTTCGTAAGTGGGTTGTAACTCTGTCTTTGCTATAAAGAGAGAATAACGTGGACCTATTTAACAGTGAATGGAGTGTATCTAGCATATTCTAGCATGTGTGTATTGTGTTTGTAACACATGGCTCCGATGTATGTTGATATGTACTATAATTGATTTCCTGGAATGAAAAAAATATGTTAAGTAACTTTTAACTTTAACTCTCTTTTATATTTCTTGAAAGTAAAAATTAGATACAAATTGAAACCTTTCTGTGAGGTTTTACTTGAAGCCAAGGCGAGAGTCTAAATACTTCGATTTCATGGGTACACTTCACAATTTGAAATATCGTATAAGGTGATATTTCCCGTTAATTAAATATTTAGTATTTGACATCTATTTTAGAGCTATGAATGGATAGACAATAGGCAATGAAGGGAGTTTTAACATTTTAAAATTTCGAATTTTACTGTTGAACTGTGTTACTCAATTTAAAAGTTTTGTTAAAAAGAAGTGAAATAGTTGTAACGGTGGAAAAGAAAGGTAATTTTTAATTAGACAGTTGTCACTGACAGAAATAACAGCTTTGTGATTTCGCTGAAGCACACTTTGACAGTTCCCTGTAATGTGATAAACATTTGTAAAAGAGTCATTTAATTGACACTGTTTTCCTGAGAATATCGTATACTCTTTTGTTAGTAATATTTGTGTAAAGGAAAATTATTTGTATTGATATATTTGATGATTTATACGTAGTTTTTAAGCAAATAGTTACGATAAATGTGTTATTAAAAGTAAATTTTCATCTATCATTGAACTAAAATGTAACTTTTACAGCTAATAGTTAACGGATAAATGTTTATACTTACAAACAAACGCAGGTTCTAAGTCATGAATATCTGAAACAAATATAAAAATATCTTTATTCTTCATTCATATGTTAAAAATATAAGTGTTTATAACAGGACGCTTAAGGCTAAATATTCAATGTCAAAGTTTTTTAATGTGCTTCTGTAAAATAAAGAGCTATAAGCACCCTTTGTATTGTTTAGCCTATGAATGTGAGGAATTCAAGCGCAATGAGCTCTGGGTTTTCCCTCACCTTCCCATCATCAGACATTACCCAGCTGTTAACCACATTGCTTAGCCCTCTTGTTTCCCTCCGGTTTTTTTTTTTTCAAACTAGTTGAGTCCAAAAGACTGAAACATTATAAAATTATGACGGAATGTGTTTATTACGATGTTACGATGAAAATGTTTTGTTGAAAATTTATTGTTATGTTATATTGTATATTAGGCTTGGCTCATATTTTTTGTGTGTATCTTTTCAAAATTTAATAACTATTTAAATAAACCAAAACGTCAATGAACGTTTATTTTCACACCGCATTCATATACTTTAAAATATTTCTATTATAAATGTAAATAGGACCGTAAGAGCAAAGACACATTACCTGCAATGAAAAAAGGAGCCAATGACGCTAGAATTTAAGAAACCTTATCTTTCGTAACGTAAAACGTTTGAGTTATTTAGAAGACAATGGCAAGGAACAGGTGGCAGATTCAGGTTTATTGGCTAACCCCTCCCAGCAATTCTTTATCGTTTTTCCTGTCGAACTTGCAGCTTTATTAACTTAGGGCTTCTTTTATTTCACGGGATGCAATATGTATTTTAATTAACACTTAAATTCATTATTTATAAAGTAAAATCAAAGGAAAAAGCATTAAGGTTATAGGTTTTATTTGTATTGCAAATATTTTTAAATGTCATTGTCATTAATGGTACAGACAAAAAATAAAAATTAAGATTTCGTTCAATATATTTAAACGTCATTGTCATTACCTTTTGTGTATTTAATAAAAATAATAAAAATGAAGTTTTTGAAATAGTGAATAACTATCTACAACAGAGCGATCAACTATTATTTCGACTATTTTACCTCATTTAATAGGGATTTACAACTCGAAGCAAGAGATTAAACTTGCCAATTTGATGTCTATTAGGTTACAAGGTGTGCACTAAGTTAGTTTTAAGTTCAGTTTCTTATTTTAAAGTATGTACAGTAATTAGTAGTAGTAAACTTACGGTCTCAATATCATGATGAGGTACTTAGAAAAAAAAAGTTGAGTATAATTTAGTTTCAAAATACGTGTTAACAATTTATCTATTCAGTACAATAACTTCCTATTTTAAAATAATTGTACTTAATGTGACTGACGATACACTAACAAACAAATTATTTCCTTTTCAATCACTTTTTATTTAGTCTTATTAAGTTTTATATCTTGAACCAACATCAAGCTACTATAGTTGTTTTTCCACAGTTTAAGACATATTAGACAGTGTAGACTTATTATTTTTTAAACTATTGGAATTTAGTAAAAAAAATACATCATGAAAATAACGTATTTCTAATTATCAAGGGATAATTTAAAACCAAATAAATGTAAAGCATTGATTGAAGAGTTCATCAAGCACCTATCCCTATTTTAAGTTAAGTTTTTGTGTAAAAAAAATGTTTTGAATCTATTTTGTAAGCGTAAGTCAATAGAACGTATACAATCATTTGTTTATGTAATCTTTAAACAATGAAACGTCTTAAAAACTACATGAAAAATACGATCAATTTTCAAAACCTTTGTTATATATTAATTAATTTCATTTATCAGAAGAAATAGTCTCCTAACCATATTAAGTTCACTCATTGGGGTTAAATATTCTCTGATTATGTAAGACCAAACAACTTGTTTCTCTAGAGGGAGAATAACTTATTACACAGTGAGGAACACTGATCATAATCACTCCCTTGACTGTATTTCGCTATTTTATTCATATATACGACAAATTTGGGTAATTTAACTGAAACTGTAATCATGTAACTGAATTTTATAATTTATTTTACTTTCATTAGATTCTATAAGCACTTTTTACGCAATAACCAAACATGACATTTCATAATAACACGTTTAAAAGTTGAAATATAGGCATATTCGACCAGAGCAATTTTCATATTTATGGTTTTCATGAAAAGAAATATTACAATGACAATTGAATTGTTATAACAGTGAACTATTAGCTTTAAACTTGGGAATTATTGTATGAAAACTAAAAAAACTATACTAAATTGAACTATTACTATGATTGAATCAAATATTTTCAAATTCATCAACATTTTAGTCACGTGCACTTCTCGTAAAGACTTGTCATCAACTGTAGATCCACATTACAAAGAACCAGGATCAAGATGACGCGGGCATGCTTTGACTACAAATTACTCTTATAAAACTGCAGCTGTGGTATTTTGTTTTCATTCCTTAAGAGTCATTCGAGCGTAAACGTTCTAACTTATAAAACAATTAAAAAACTACAAAGACAATTAATTTCTAATAGAACTTAGCACTAGATATTTTAAGTACAATCACTCTGATACTTGAAAAATATTTTGAGATGGTAGATAACTCTTCAGCGGCTGTTTGAAATTGATAAAAATTAACATTGCTCTTATGGTTGGCAAACGCAAGATAGCCGTTAGCTACCATGGTCTCCCTTGGAAAATAATTCAAAACTACAAAGACGATTTCTAATCCCACAGTGTCCTAGATTTTTAAATTATAACCACTTTGGTGTTTGAATAAATGTTTTTGTAAGGTAAATAACTATTTATCAGCTGTTTACAATTATTAACCAAGATAACCGCTTGCCTCAAAGGTCTCTTAAAATTGTTTACACAGAGTTCCCCATTAGTAAGTACAAATAATTTGAGAAGATGTTTAATGGGTAAAAAAATTAAAATCAATAATATTTTTCCCCTACGCCTTTTTAGCATGGTAGCCTATCCACAAATTCGTTATTTTGGATTTCAAATGTATATATTACTGAAACTATGTAATATAACTTTGTGAAATGTGTTGTGCTATTTAAGAAGCAATACACTATTTCCAAGAAAACAGTCATAAAATGTAGTCTTTTATAAGATAAATAATTAGAAAGAACTGATTTTATAGGAAAACTTCAATGAGATCTTTATTTAGAATTTTTAGGAGTACCCTTACACGTTGGCCTTGTTTCACCTAGCCTGTACACCTACTAATTGTAATTTTTCAGCCTTTTATCATTCGATCTTCTTAACTTTATGTAATTTCATATGAAATCTTTAATGTTAAATACAAATGTTTAATCTTTTTTCTTAAAATCAGACCCATCCACGACTGCAATTTTATAAAACGGCTAAAATCTGTTTAATCTTGTTCTAAAAACTATATCGCCGAATAATGTTCGGTCAAGGAAGTATTTGTAAACACTGTTTCGTGTTTGGCAAAAATAAAGAATAATATTAACATTGTTCATAATAAAAACATTGCAAAAACGTATTTTTGTATGGAAAAGAAATAAACATTTGTATAAGGTATGTTGTAGTGTGTATAGACAACAACTATAATGCAGGATTTGTATATGTATGAAGAAAACCCAACCCTCTTTTATTCTCAGTTTCCGTTTAATCATAAAGTTCGTTTTTAGACGCAAAGAGAACAAGGCAGCCCAATACAGCCCCAACATATGAGTTTGTGCTTCAGTTTCATTGTGATGAGTCTATATTTCTATACATGAATAAGATATGCTTTAATGAAGCTTCAGATTTAAAAATAAATTTATTAGTACGACTATTTTATACGTAGATTCGACATTTTGATACAAACCGCATACATTTTGATTATGTTTTGATACTGAGAAGATAATTTACACTAGCTGAACGATTGTTTGTTCGTTTACCATTGTTACATATTTTAAAATAGATTTTTATTATTTTAGTTTTTCATTTAAATGGACCTAAATCTTAATAAGATTCCCTAAATGACATGTGTGTGCCAATTTGGTCCGATTTCGATAAAATGTGGTACCTGCGTTAATTCGAACGAGTTATCGAACCAGCGTATTCGTACCACGGAAACGGGGTTTCATGGGGTAAAAATTAATATTTCTCCTCCAAACACCCCCCAACTAATTGGGGTTTTTGGGTCTTTTGGGTGTCAATTATCAATTATCAATTATCAATTATTTAAGATGGGGACGCCACTATGTGCGTATTTTAACCCAAATATGAGTGAAGGATGAGTGTAGGATGAGTGGCGCGATCTTGTAGTCTTGTTAGTGACTAAGGCCGACATGTTCCTTAGACACAGCTGTTAATTAATAGCCCATACAGCTAATGGCAACTATTGACGTGTTCTTTTTTGGGTTCACCCTCTAAACATTAAATTTCCCAATTTTTCTATAAACCATTTTAAACACCTTAAAACATATAATTTAGTAAATTGATTTTTTTATGGTTGTTGGTTACGGAGAAAATACAAAAAATTTTCAATTTAAAACTTTTATGTTATTTTGATGGAGAATAAGTAAACGGTTGTATTTTGCTTGTTTATGGATATATTTTGATCAAACTAGCCAAATATATTTATTTTACACTAAGCTATTGTTCTTTTACTAAAAACACTTTTACTAAAAAGTTTATTACCCTCCCTGAAGCAAAAATATCCTAGGTACTCGTTAAACCTAATGTTATTGAAATGTTTAATTGTAAATCAAATCAGGCAAATATAAATTCGCTTAGTCCGCAGGTTCGCAGCGGCGGGGGTATGTACATTACTAACCTTAGATTTTTACAAAAGGTGCTGGAAAATTCAGGTGATTTTAATTGCATTTTATCCAAAACAAATGTATTGTGAAAACTTGGAATCTGGATGAGTGAGAGAACAATTTACATTACAAAGAAATCTGGAAAACAATTTGTGTAAAGCCGCACGTCAAGCCAACGCTAAGTGAAAAATTCGTTCTAGCTTTTAACTTTCGTGGAAAACATTTCTCATAAAATATGATTGGAAAGCTGAAACCAGAAGT